CCGCCCGCGCCGGCCGCCCCAGGAGACGCCTAGTCCGCCACGCAGCCACGGGCAAAGCCGGGCGCGCTCGGCGCCGACCGTTGTCACGATTTAAACCCGCCGCCTCCCCCCGGAGCCCCGCCCTTTCCGCCCACTTCCGGTAACGGCCGCGCGAGCGGCCCGGGCGGCGCCGGCTGCGGGCGGAACCTTTCTCGCGGCGTCGGCGTCCAGTCGGACCCGGTCTCCGCAGGAAGTGGGGCGCGGGGCTCGGGGGCGCATCCGGGGTCGGGGGTCAGCGCGGCAAGCCCCGGGCGCACCCGGGGCTTGGGGCGCGTGGGGGCGGGAGAAGCTAGTCGCCTCCCTGAGTAGGGAGGCGGGTCCGCGTGGGCGGGCGTTTTCTTTGGACGGTGTGGCCCTTCGTGCGTGTGCTTTCCGCCCCGTGTGCTTGTATTTCCTACGAAAAAAAGGTGACAGAAAAGCGTCCGATTCAATTTGTGTGACCCGAGAACAGCGCTGCAGCCGTGGGGCGATGGGGACGGGGCAGGGCGCGACCGCCGCCACCTGTGTCCACGCCCCCCGCGGACTGACTGACAGGCTCTGTGTTTCCGGTCCCGCCTACCGATCGGCGATGCTCTGTGCTGTGGACGAAGTGGGGGGCGGGGGGCCGTGCGTCCCGGGCGTCAGACTCGGAAACTCTTGGGGGGTTTAGATCAAACCGAGCGCGCGAGCCGCAGCTTTGCGCCCGCCTGCCGTTTCCTGCGGGAGGCGCGCCCCCCGTTAGCTAACCGCCAGGTAACGTGCAATGTGCGAAACCCTTTCTTCCCAAGTGTTGGAATAGCCTTTGCACATCTTATCTGTGCGTAATTATGAACGAATAGATAAACATGTGCAATACTTTTTGTACTTAAATTAGTGGTGTAGTGTATAAGGTATTTACATTTTGTGTAAAATGTTGACATAATATTTTGTGTTTTATTAAAAAAAAAGGTTGGGGCTATAGATACACTGAAAACGCACTAATTTAAAACGGGCAATTCTGATAACACATGCACAGCGTGTTCACTGGGAGGCGCTGTCGTACTGATGTGAACCTGACACTTTGGACGTTTTATTTCATTTTCTTTTACATGAGTAAACAGAGCGATAGCCCGGGAACACAGTGTTCTGGGTGGAAAAATTGGATTTTAAATTTATTGGCTCTGAAATACATGTTTAGAGTTTGGGCTTACGAAGAAACGCAGCGTCGGGTTGAAAGTAGTGGCCTGCGTCACGTTACCTCTTAATTATTCCAGACCTGTTAACCCGCCTCAGCTGTGTGCTCACCTTCAGTCGTGGATTTGGGAGCTGAGCTATACTTTGCAAGACTTTAAACAGTATCTTTGTTAGGGACTCCAGCAGAATTTTTCAGCTGGAAACCATATCATGCATGTCCTTTGCTAATTTGTAATGAGCTCTAAATCAGACCCGACAAAGCAAAAATTTGGTGGGTTAGACTCTAAGCCCTCCAGGATCCTCTCCCCAACTTGGACATGAAGTTATATTATTTTAATAACAGGAGGGACCCTTAGGGGTTAATAGCCCAAACAAATTGGATATTGATAAAAATAGTTGTTTAACGTGACATTTTTTGAAGTATAATTTTTATGCTCTGGGTATTCCCAATAGATATTGTAATATCCTTTGGTGTTTCGAGTTATTTCAAGGGATTTAATGAATTCTCAAGAAAAAAATATTAATGCATTTGTAATGTAAATTTTGAAAAGGGACATTTAAAAAAAAAATGAAACCAATAATGACAGTGTCACAAATCAGAAAACTCTGTGGATGACTAGCTTTTTTGTCACAGTTCTAGTCTTCTGTTATTATTCCTTTATGACAGTGGCTTCTATTATCTAAGTAAATGTGGTGGGGACTCAATGAACCCTGGAAGGAAATCACTTTTAAGTTCTCATCTTCTTCTCATAACTCCTAATCCTGTTTTCCCTCAAAATGGAGACAAGTGTTTTATCAAAACATTTCCGTATAAGCACCAAGTAACATTATTTAATCTCCACCTTAGTATTTGAAAAAGAAAAACGGTCAATTTTCACCCCCCCATTTTTTAAGCAGACTCCACCTGGTAAACAGGTTGACCATATAAATTCAAAATGGGTACCTGAACATTGTTCCTAGGATAACCCACTAGGATAATTTTTCTATACCGTTTGCATATAGTACTTAACGATGGTACTGGATGGTTCACATTCATAGATGCACTGGGTCCTCTCCATGGATTGCTCCTTTTAATTCTCAAAGCAACTGCCTAAAGTTGTTTCTATTCCCATTTTTTAGATGACAAACTAAAACCAAATTCCTTAAGAAAACAAACAATGTGCTCATAGTCTTGTATCTAGGAAACCAAGGAGCCAAAATTTGAACCCATGTAATCTAATGGTAGGTTACCAGTACCCCTGGGTCCTTCTTGCCTCTACCACCTCCCTGCAGTACACACACACGCTCACACACACATGCTCACGCTCACACATACACATACACACGCTCACACACACACTCACGCTCACACACACACACACACACACACACACACACTTACGCTCACACTATGAAAAGAGACCCTGGAGCCTTAAGCAGCTCTCTGGGAAGGACTTAGCTGTGTGATCTTTGAACTAACCACCTAGCTCCCTCGTTTGTGCGTCAGGTCCCTCTAGGCATTTGGGTGGGCTGGCCGTGGCACAGGACCTTGGCCTTCAGAGGTGTCCGATGTAGGAAACCCGCTTTTCTCACCGCTGCCGCTCCCAGGGCCTCTCCCAGCCCTGATTCCCTAGGACCTAAGATCCCTCCAAAGAGGAAGAATCAAGTTCCAGGCCTCTTCGTCTCTCCCTTTGTTTTAACAGGAAATCTCACAGCTTTAGCTCCTTGCTGGTTGGCAGCTGCTTCTGGCTCTGCTCATTGCTTGGGGCTCCTCTGAAGGTTTTTTCCTGGAATTAATATTAACTAAAGCAAAACACATTTCCTCCACCCAGGGGGTTGATTTCCTTAAGAAAATCACTATTTGCCCAACAGGAGAAATTCACAGTGATAGTGTTAACATAATTTTGACCTTATTTTTTTTTTACCATTTCCTACCCTGAGTGACAATGAATCATTTATCTCAAAGTCATTTTCTTTTTCCCCTAACCACAGCAGGGGTGTAGCTGTGTGGAGAAAATTGGGGGGATTTTATTTGATGCCTGCTATGTTTTTATTTTAATGTGGCGACAGAAAACAGAGTGGCTAACACAGCTGGATGGCCATGTAAGGCACAGACATTGGAACTAAGATTCTAACCCCAGTATAAATCAGTCTTGACGAGATTGCGAAGGTTTCATATGGGTTATAAATATACATCATGCCGTCCGCAAGAATTCACTGAATACTTGTATGTGTCAGACACTACATTTTCAGAACCAAAAATCCGGACAGATTACCTATCAGTGTGAGCTAATGTTTTACCTTTGTATTCTCTTGGTGGCTGAGAAGGAGACGCCCCGGCTGTCCCCTGCACACTGCTTTCACTTACAGTCACGTGCGTGGTTTTCCCACGCTGACCAATTCTCCACCAGCCAGCTGGGTGCCCTACAATTCCGAACTGAACTGAGCTCTACTTGGAGTTAGTGTCAGACCCCACAAGTTAAGGGCTCAGTCCCACAAGACTCCCTTGCTTCAAAGTCCCAGGGTGTCACCTGTACTTCTGACTGACTCAAAATCAGAGTCCCCACAACCTCTCCCTCGGGTTCGATAATCTGCTAGAATGGTTCACACAACTCAGGGAAACACTCATGCTTTCTGTTTTATTATATAATATAAACATTCATGCTTTCTGGTTTATCGTATAATATAAACACTCGTGTTTTCTGGTT